GGGTGATACCTTCAGGAGGACCATATCGTCCACCAGAAACTCCAAGTCTGAATGCCTCCTTTCGGTGTAACTCTTTTTCCAACTCTGTGCGGTCTGCAGTCTACTACGAACCTGTTGGATCAACTCTGTTGTCTTGAGCACCACCTTGGTGCTCCCGATGACTCACTGACCGACCTCGCCCCAACAAATTGGGGTCCTACACTTCCTCCCGTAGAGAATCTTGAAATGAGGGCGGTCAATACCAGCGTGGTAACTGTTGTTATACGGAAATTCTGCTAGTGGAAGATACATATCGCAACTACCACTGAAGTCTAGGACACATTCCCGAAGCATTTCCTTGAGTCTGAATCGTCCTCTCGCTCTGCCCGTCCGTCTGAGGGTGGAAACCGGTGCTAAAATGAAGACGATTACCCATCTCGTCATGAAATCGCTTCCAAGGTCTGGAAGTGAACCAGACGTCTCGATCTGATACTACTGATACAGGCACTCCATGCCGTGCTACTACCTCGTGCACATAAATATCGGCTAGCTTCTCAACCGATATAGTCTCCTGGATTGGTATGAAATGTGTGCTCTTGGTGAGCCGATCCACTATGACCCAAATCGAATCAACTCCCCGTGTCGTCCTGGGAAGCTTAGTGATGAAATCCATGGTGATAGCCTCCCATTTCCACACAAGAATATCTAACGGCTGCATCTTCCCGTGGGGTCTCTGGCACTCCGCCTTGACTTTCCTACAGGTCAGGCACCTCTCTAAGTACCAGGCCACATCCCACTTCATGTAGGGCCACCAATAATTGGGTCGAAGATCTATATACCTCTTCGTCTCCCCTGGATGGATGGAGAATCGGTACTTGTGGGCCTCATCCATCAACACCTGCCGTACTCCTCCCCAATACGACACCCAGACTCTCTTATGAAGGGTTATCAATCCTCAACTGGCATAGTCGAATGAACCTACTCGACATATAATCCTCTCACACTTCTGCCTCTCCTCCTTCAGGCCCTCAAAATGTGCTTCTCTAATCCGCTCCAATAATAGAGTAATCACCGTTATCTGCATACATATATCTCTAATTGGTGCCGCCATCGCCTTGCGGCTCTGGGCGTCGGCCACAACGTTGACCTTTTCCGGATGATAAAGGATCTCACAATCATAGTCCTTTACCACATCTAACCCTCGACGCCGCCTCTTGTTCCAATTCGGTTGGTCCATGAGGTACCTCAGACTCTTGTGATCCGTGTAAATGGTACAGTGGACCCCATAGAGGTAATGTCTCCAAATCTTGAAGGCAAACACCACCGCCCCCAACTCTAAATCGTGTGTCGGATAATTAGCCTCATGAGGCTTCAACTGCCTAGAGGCATACGTTATCACATGCCCTCGTTGCATCAACACTGCTCCCATCCCTGTGATCGAGGCATCACAGTAGACTACAAAATCATCCACTCCCTCTGGCAGGGTGAGAATCAGTGCCTCGCACAATCGCTGTCTAAGGGTCTCAAATGCGGTCTGCTGTTAAGGCCCCAGCGAAACACCCCCGACTTCTTAGTCAGTCGGGTAAGTGGAACTGCTATCTTGGAGAAGTCCTTGATGAATCTCCTGTAGTACCCTCCCAAACCTAGGAAGCTCCAAATCTCTGATGGAGGCCTCAGGACCTCCCACTGCATCACCGCCTCGATCTTGGCTGGATCCACTAGAATACCATTCTGGTTGACGAGGTGACCAAGGAACTGCACCTCGCGCAACTAGAACTCGCACATGGAGAACTTTGCAAAAAGTCTCTCCCTCCTCAGCGTCTCTAGCACCTCTCTCAGGTGCTCCTCGTGCTGCTCCTGAGTCTTGGAGTAAACTAAGATGTCGTTAATGAATACTGTCACAGACCGATACAACATCAGCCTGCATATGCGGTTCATGAGATCCATGAACGCGACTGGAGCGCTGGTAAGCCCAAATGGCATCACCACAAACTCATAATGACCATAACGGGTCCTAAAAGCTGTCTTATGAACATCCTCATCCCTGACCCACATCCGATGATAAACGGAGCGCAGATCAATCTTTGAAAACTAAGATGCTCCCTGAAGCTGATCGAACAAATCATCTATCCTCGGGGAGTGGGTAACAGTTCTTCATCGTTACCTTGTTCAACTCCCGGTAATCTATGTACATACGATGCAACCCATCCTTCTTCTTCACAAATAGGATCGGGGCTCCCCATGGTGAACTACTTGGTCTGATGAAACCCTTGTCTGGCTATCGGAGCCGCGCCAGAAACCAGATCAATCCTGAACTCAACCTGTCTCTCTGGGGGTATCCCAGGAAAATCCTCTGGGAATACGTCTGGGTAATCTCGTCGACTATCGCCTTGCCCTTCTCCCGGGAATCCAAAACATAGGCGACAAACCTTGCGTAACCCTGCTGAAAGTAGCGCCTCGCTCTCGCTGCTGAGTAAAGAATCGGTCCGTGTTGTGGCCTTTCTCCCTGAATCACTAACTCTCCCCCACTAAGGGTGTAGACCCTCACTAACTGTAGCTCACAATCAATCACCGCCCCATTGAGGCTCAGCCAATCCATACCCACTATAACCTTATTCCCTCGCATGGGAATGGGAACCAAGTCCACTGAAAACTGCTCATCAAATAACTGCAACGAACAAGCCCTATGTACTCTTGCGACCCTGACGGTCCTGTAATCAGCTATCTCAACTTCAAGTGGAGAATCCAGCTCCCTCGGAGCTCTGCTAAACCTCTTGCTAAGCGCAAGTGAAACAAATGATCGGGTAGCCCCCAAATCAAACAACATTGTAGCTGAAATGACGTTCACTAAGAACGACCCTATATAAAACATATAACCATAAGAAACAATCCAGAACAATAAAAAAATAAAAGGAAGATACATACCCATCACCACATCAGGAGTCGCTCGCCCCTCTGCTGTCATCTGAAAAGCTCTACTCTTTGCCACTAGCGCCTCACTTCGGCCCTGATGACCAGCTATAATCCTCAATGTTGCAGGGGCATGTGCTACCACCTTCCCTGCTGCTGCTGCTAACAAACTCGGACACTGGGACTTTTTATGTCCCCTCTTATTGCAATGGAAGCAAATTAGATCAAATGTTGTGGTAACGGTGGGAGTAGCTACACAATCTCTGCTCATATGCCCGGTCTAGCTGCACTTATAGACACTGGGACTCCCTACCTTGCACGCC